AGGTCAAACAACCTCTATACAACGAAAGGAGACTGCGACCACGCAAAAGGCCACACCATCTTGGTCTTCAGGCCTTCGAAGCACAGCTTTTATTCATGCGAAGATTCCATATACTTAGAAAATTAAATTTGTTATGTTGTCTTCATCAGCAACTTTTTAAGGCAACAAAATCACAATCGATCACTTTATAAACTATACCGTGTTTCACAGTAATTTTTCTTATGAGTCTTTTAGATTCGTTTTCTATGGCCGAGTAGACTGGAACTTAAGTTTCCAAAGCGAAAGCTGAAAGTATCCTTTAAAATAAACAAGGATATGTGGTACTGTTAATGTTCTACTGCTCATAGGGTTGACATCTTCACATTCGCCAGCCTGACATTTGCTAAAATGAGTCTTGCTGATATAAAATGGAGGGTAAAAATCGAAATAATAATATTTTAGAATCAGATACTAGCCATCATATGAATCCGCAAACGAAAGGGCTCCCCGTAGTTTGATTTGCCAAAATCCGCTTTACCGTCCGGCCTAGTCTATGGGAAAAGAAGTGCCTCTGACTAAAACGCAAAAATCTAGAGGTCCAGATGAAGTACGTCGAGGGATGGTTGCCAGCTAAGCCGCCTACCTTAAGGCAGGTTCATTTCGAATATTCTTCGACCACTAGCTTCAATGCGATATATCAAATGGTGTCACTAAATATAAACTAATGCTGCCATGTGGAATAATAGCGAAAATAGGGGACCATTTCTGGTATGGACTGATTGGAACTAGCTTGTGTGCTGGCGCTTAAATTTATTTGAGGTTGCCTACAGCAGACTTGAACTCTTTTAGTCAAGGTGACGGCGAATCGATTTACAGGAAAATATTAGGGTTTTCCCAATACAACCATAACTCCTTTGATAAGGTTATCCGTTGTTGGCAGAGTGATCTGTGGAATAGACCATAAAGAGCGAGTGGCATATTTATGGAGAAGGAAAGAAGCGCTACATAAGATAATAAGTGGGTCTATGCAACGAGTTGAAGACGAAGACATAATGAAGAAAATACGGCTTTTCTTGATGCCGGAGTAAACAGATTTAATATAGTCCAGAAGGTATCAGCTAGAAAATTGAGGCCACAGTCGTAACCCTTCTAGACACCCACGACTCTCTAGCTGGCCCTGAAAATGCCATAATGTTATCCTTCATCTCAAGAGACCATGATTCGTTCAAGCTGAGGGAATGGACAATTACTTATGCATGCATTCTCGACTCTAAACATGAAACGGACATTTTCTAGGACAACCACTCTCACCCAATATCTCGTTGCTATGTGTCTAGATTACATGCTGCACTGCCATGGTTCGAGTCCCGCTGGTGTTGCCGATGAACCAAGGCGAAGTCTAAACTGAGGTTCAATCCTGCCTGAGCTAGAATGCCTTTTGGGAATGCAAACATATGTGAAATTTAATGGAAACGTTACGTCTACTCATAACATTATGGGAAAATTGAACTGCTAATTTCCTTATTACCTTAAACGAAATAGGATGAAGACATTTAATATACATTTTTGGCTGCGCTATTGACTTTGACTAAATTTCAATAAATTCTCGGAATACAGACTATTTGTATTATTCATATTTTTTCTTTCCTTTTGAACTATTTAAATCTTTTGCAATTTTTGCTTAAATGCTTTCTGGTGAGTATGCGTGTTTTGGCTAGCAAGAACATGCTCGTCTCTTGCTTCCGATTTGACTTTTATACTTCCTAATCTCCGGTCCATTTTGTATGTAAAATGTTTATCATATCAACCGACTGGAAACGTGGCATTATTGTATAAATTAATATCGACTATTTTATCTCTAGTTCGTGAATTGTGTGCATTACAGGATGGACTGATAATCTAAATCAAACTCTTTAACTAATTTATGGGTTATAATTCCGCCATTCAGAAATAAAATTGTGCTTCCTTGATGTAGGAAAGCGATTGTTAAGGGAAAAATTGCAGTCCTACCAGAATTTTTTTAGGCGCTTTCTTGTAGTCTTCGTGTAGACTTCATTTACTTTGAAAAGTTGGGTGCATACTTCATCAGTCAAGATTCGGAACTGATCCACCCGGATCAGATACTTAGGACTCGAGGGCTGATCAACCCAAATAAACTGTCCTTTTACTCACATAAAAAGGGTTTATAGCAATCCTGACTTCTATTGCCTGTAACATAAATCACTTTAGTGTTGGTTTGACCTCGTTTTAGCAACTTGATTGGAACATTAAGGAAACCTCGTAGAATATATCTAGTCCTGCATCCTCTACCACACTTTTCGTGATTTCCAGCATCAAATACTATGGCGGACTAGGAAAGTTCCTCTGGTGCCTCGAACAAGTTGCGAAAACGAATTCTAACTGATACTATAGTTCAAAGAGTCTACCACCAAATACAAGGCCACAACATCTTTTTCCTCACATCTACTATCAATATATTTTGTTCAAAGGTCTATATTGTACAAATGGTCTACCCCTGTAAACTAAGTTTTTCGGAAACCCAAATTCACTTCTTGTGAGCCACACATGCAGAAGTTAATCTCTTAGTCCTCTACTGCTTTGATCATTGAAATGAGATGGCCTCAGACCACGCTTGTTAGAGGCCTTTTGGAAGCGCCCTAACACTAGTTCTACTTTGGATTTCGGGATAAACCTAGCTTCAGTTTTATCGGATGAGCAATCACAAACAGTAGGTACAGATGACTTGCGTTTGGCACGTTATTATACACTAGCTCTAAATGTCATTCCAGTTTGATTGATAGTCTAAGGTTGCCGAAATTGGTAGGACAGTTTCACCCTCTGACTGTCCTGGTCGCCAGGCTCTAGATTTATTAAACTGGTCTTGGTAACCAAGAAGATCAACTTATTCAGTTTAACTTTCTTACAATAATATCAATTTGATTAGCATTTGCGAAGAATAATGATAACACCAATAGCCCATACGACGACGTATTGTTGATTTGAGTTGGCTTGCTAGACAGTATAGTCCGAGGAAGTCTCAACTCCTGCGAGCACTCTCTGAGAAAAATGGCTCCGATGGGGGACCCAGATCGAGAAGGTCAATTCGAGTTAGCATACAGAGACTCTTGTCCAGTTCGCAAAATTGTAAGAAAAATGCTCAACTTTCTAATATGCCATTGTGGTTTGGTGTATATTTGTCTGGAGTTTTTGTATAATCCGCAAGGGCTGCTTTCTACATTGTTTGGGAATTCGGATATATCCCTTAAAATGTAAGAACCATACATGTTATCATGCATCCTGATTCCAGCCAAAATCCGTCTTAGCTCCATGTAATGTAGATGCATTACAGCCAAACTATCTGGAGTTGATTAATAGATCCTCTTCTATTCAGTGTAGGGAGAGCATGTGTTTTTCGGGGGACTATACTCTTACTCATTAAGCACCTAAAGCGATACTGTTCTATTATCTCTCATATAGCCTCAAGTGGAGCTAATATCTGAAGCTACGCTACTCTCTTTAATACACTTTTGGGGGCGTCTGGCTTAGGTCTATCTGATTATGACCAGGAAACTGTATCGGTTCATGCTCAATCAATTCACAATATCTTAGCAATGTTATCCATAGATGCGAATGACCAAGATTCGTCATAATTTATCATGTTTATGGGAAAACTTTTAATTCTGTAATTCAAGTCGTCAGCGGCTTCTTAATGAAGGATCATAATAAGACGAGTTTTGCTGAGAAGTGTTTGTCCTATTTCGTTTAAGTTGAAGAAGGATTGGTATTCACATTTTCCCACAATGATTTGAGCAACCCTTTTTTTTACATTCAATTTCGCATAACTTTGCTTCAAAATAGCTATTCTCATCCAGAGTGAAATGCAGATTTGAACTCGCCTAGCTACTATCAGCTCCTCTAGCGATACTCAAACCTGATTGTTGTTAGTTCACCTATAATCCCGAGATGGTAACCACTACGTCAAACTGCCAAGAGTGTCTTTGGATCACATGAAATTGACATCTGCCCTGCGGCGCAAAGGTACTTGTGGCAGGTTAGCGTAGTGGGTGAAGTGTTGGGATTATACGCTGCACTACTCGGGTTCGAGTCTCGCTGGGGGTGGTGATGAGATATGGCAAGTTGGAATTTCAGTCCATCCTGAATCGGAATAGCTTTTAGAAAACAAGGCTATGTGAAATTTATTTTTCGTATATAATTAGAGTTTTGATACTACCAGTAAATTGAGTGAATACATATATGAATACATATATGTGAAATTCAGTTTAAACATAAGGCCTGCTCATAACCTTGTGGAAAAATTCAACTATCAGTTATTTATCACCTTATATGAAATATGTTAGGCACATCCGAAATTCTTCTGTCGACAGTAACCTAAAGTGAGTCTAGATCCGCAACGTGGTCAAATTGGGAAAACCCATTTTTCCATTTGTACCATATGCCTTGGAGTGGACTAGGGGCTCCGAAAACTTTTGTAATCCGTGGGTCTATTTAATGACCCAGTATGCACTAAAATCGAGTTAATGTTCAAAAGCTCGCTCTCGAAGTACTCTTCCTACCACTTTTCAGTTCAATAAAAAAACTGATTGGAAAGGAATAATGAATTGGTCTCATCAGGAAATGAAGGTGGATCGACTGCCTTTGAGTAGAGACTGTTGAATTGTGTAAGTCCTTAGCCCAGCATTCTGCGACTCCGATATTTTTTTGCTGAATCTTTTTTTGTCATGTGACAAACTTGGTCTGGGAGAGAAAACATCCTTTACGAAAAAAGAAACTCATCAACTTTTTTAGTTGATTGCATGGCTGCCTTTATTGGCAAATGAGTAATCATGTTGCTTATGTTTCTGATGAAGCCAATTCATGAATCTTTTACATCCACGCATTACTCTGAAATTTAAGATCGAGTCACGAAAAGTACCATACGTCTACGTTATCGCTTTTAAGGTCCCAGTAGTCTTTGTTTAATCCCTTTTATCTCCCAATGTGAAATAACCTCGTATTGGCAATTTATTTGAAGCTTCCTTTCGTATTGGGGTCGGACTACAATATATCTCCATTAACTCATCGCAACCTCTCTTGAAAATGTAATATTGGCCCCTTAATGACAATTTCTAATCGAAATTGATAAGATAATTATTGTAAATATTACTTCACATACCTAACTAGATATATCGATACGAAATCGCTGGGCTGGCTGTTTTCCGGCCAGTTCAAATGTGCTCGCGGCGGACGGTAGATCGGTGCCCATCTCCAGTCTGAGTGTGGGAGATCACCTGCTGACGTATGACATCGGAAGGCATCAGCTGCGACCCAGTCCTGTGATCGCCTTTCTGCATCGCGACCCAAATGCTTCACCAGACTTGATCACAGTCAAATACACACTCGCCATTTGCTGTTCCCTCCAATCCTCCGCCTCTCTGGCAGTCCACCAAAACCGATATCTCTCCCATAAACTGTGTCATTGCTCCTCCGCGCCAGTGGAGCAACCCTGCCCATTTGACTCACACTCAAGCTTTCAGGCCGCCTCAACTTGCACTTCTTCCTCACTCCGCATTACTCCCAACCACTTGGTCTACAGACGAAGACCATCGGCAGCCAATTCTCCCTGCGCTCAGAGGCCCATGGTACCGGCGAGGACCAACCGCTCTGTCCGGACAACCCGACGAACGACTGCCTGCCTGGCCTGTTGTTGGGGCGACAGAGCTGGCCACGAGGTGATTTACGCCTATCAACTGCGCGCAGGTGACCTCATTGAATTGGTAGCCACGACAACGAGCAATTTGACCCTCTGGCGTGAGTCAGAGTGGCCAGAGCAC